TCGGACCCCGCAATGAAAATTGTATCTTTCCGAAACGTTCCAGAAGAGTCAATTTTATAATTATTTTATATACAATTTTATCTACGATCTGTATGAAAGAGAATGTTTACTTCAACAAATCATTGCTTTTACCAAATTTATTATCGAGTCATAAAAGTAATTGATTTCAGATATACGAGTTGCAAAGTCCGTCACTTGATGAGAAACTTCTATCACAGCGACGGTAATGGGTCTAGGTAATAAAACTAACTTATAATCTAACATTATTATTTTTTTTGAAATAAATTAGTACATAATACTAACATGTATATATACATATATATATAACGTATATATACGTTATTCAATTTAAAAGAACCTTAGTTACTTGATTTGCATTGAGGAAGTAACTCTAACGTATAGAAAACTGATGGAAGAATGTTTCTATTTTTAAAAAATATTTTGTTTTTGTAATGAGTTTTTCTTTATAATATTTTTATTTTTAATTTTTATAACAAAAACATTACAATTAACATTTTTAACTAAAAATGTTAATAACTAACATACGATATATAATTAACTGCATTATGAGATCAACTTAATCATATTATAGTGCTATATGGTATTTAATGTTTAATAATCATTTTATTAAATTATAAATAAATTATGATAAACTAATAAATTATGGCTACATAACGTCGCCACCCCCAGCATCCTCTCCACAGACCTTATTCTGGCTTTGCGCTTTAAATCTTGAATATCTAGTTGTCAACATAGAAAATAATACGACATTTCAAATTTAATCCGAAATTATTGGGAATCTATCGTATCAGATATTAGAGTAAGGTAAGTGAATTTTTAATTTCTTATAATGATCTTATAATATTAATTCATGAAACCCTTTTTTAAATGCAGTGGGTGAAAATAATTGATCGTCGTCGGAAAATTTGGGAACTTGATGAAGATGTAGATGTTTAGTTTGAATGTATTAAAAAAATATTGTGTAAGGACTTATAAATGGAAAATCTTTCCATGTATTGGCTGATTTGTATGATACTGTTATAATGATGCATAGACTTTGTACGAAAGAAATCTGGATGGACTCTGGAGACGAGGGCAGTATCTTCAACAAAAAAAAAAAATTGATAGCCGAAGAGATATCAGTCATGTTAACTAATTCTTATGATGGGTAGTTGTTGATTGACCCATTATGTCAATTTTTTATTATTGTTAAAAATATGTTTCCTGATGTTTACTTTAGACTAAAGTCTTTTAATAATCAATTTTTATTTCCCAGTTGAGAATTTTTGTATAATTCGTTTATAAGTCTGATTTCTTTTCATGGGCGTGTTTAACCGATTCCTTGTGAGCACAAAAGCTCCAGATGTGACAATTTCATTTTTTGACATTTTTTGACATGTCTATCAAGCGGAAAGTAAGACTTATCTCTACGAAAAATTTAAAGCAAAATTTTTGTATTAAATTTTCAAAATATATATATAATATGTGCTGCGGTTGTTAAACGTTGCGTATTGTAAACAAATATTGCCTTGGATGATAAGGACCTCGAAACATATAACCTGTTGCATAAGCACATATTTATTTCAATAAATTATACCAAATATTTCATATAAAAACATTTTTCTTTCCTGAGAAATATATATCACATTTAAAAATATAGTAGCAATTTAATCACTTTTTTTTAAACTGTTTTTATTTATATTATATTGGTTCTATTCCCATACTTTTAGTTGGCAGTGTAACTCGTATATAATGTCAATGTTCTGCGAAATTTATGTTAATACATTTTTTTATGTTAATGCGATTTTATTGCTAGACCTAGAATTCATAAACACGTCTGTTCTCGTGAAATTAGAGGACTGTTTTCCTACCGTATATAATTACATATTAAAATGAACTTTTATATCAGCATTTTCTATCTCTGCAACTGTTGAGGTCATTATCATTTAGCTGGTTGTAGTCATTGTGGCATTGAATTTCGTCGTGTGACCATAAACTTTAAAAAAACTTTCTTTTAAAGTCTGGTATTGCAGTGTTTTTTTAAAAAACCAACTGTCAACTGTATTCTATATATAGTCTCGAATGGCAATGTTTCGGGTTATATTAAGTATTAATCAATAAACATGGAAAAAATTTGACTTATAACTACTTTATTCTGGTAATCAAGATCTGTTCCAGCCACAAAAAAAAAAACAACAAACAGGCTTGAATCTTATGATCCTATAAAATAAAAATCAAGCTGGATTTAGTTCTTGAGTTTAGAATATATTTTTCCCATGGGTTCTTATTGGCAACTCAAATAAATGATATTAAATATTAGAAACTCAGAGAAATAAATTAAATATAATTAATCAGTTAATACAAAAATCGTGATTTAATGTCAGTTGTGACGGCAGCGATTACACTTTATATAAACTATTGTATTTTCCTAGAGAGATTTCGAAAAGTAGTGTACAACAACAACGACAATTTTTATTATTATTTTAATAAATTGAATTTTGGCTAACCATACAACTGCTGTGTATGAAAAAATTATATTAATTAAAGCAGTTCTAATATTGGAAAATGTGCCTTGACATCCTTTTGCTGAAATTCTAAATTAAGATATTTGAAATATACATAATTATGTGTGTGCGCCTTCTAATGTCATACCATTTGATATAACATACTATAATGCATTAAATCCAATATCTTATAAAATATTTAATATATTATAAATTATTATAAATACATATATATCATTTATAGAGCATAATAAGAGCTAATACTAGATTGTGGCATAGACTATTTTCTATAACTGTATTAAATATTGGCAACCTTTGAGCATAATTCAATCTCTATAAATTTAATAATAAATTTAAGCCCCTTCAGTATTACCCATTCTCCCTAACTTTCCCCCACGCTTTCTAGCTTCGATGAATCTAGCCCACTAGGTATTAAGTCTATCTGTTTTCATCTCTCTCTCCTGATTACTGGAATAAAATTTCATCATTGCTGTCGAAATCTTCTCCATTCATTCCTAAGAGGTGGTTTAGTGGGTTGAAGTCTCATAATGGAGCTGTCGATGCTTTCCACCTACATTAAAAACAAAAAAGCTCGGATTAAAATAAAATAAATATTAATTTTAAATTAATATTTTAATATTTTAAATTAATATTTAAATTATAAAAATATGCTGTAAAATTATTTGAGCACGGATAACAATGACTTGATGACATTTCTATTACATAGGTTACAAAAATATATAAAGGATGTTGAATATACTGCAATTAGGTGATATAGATTAATATCTCAGTTGGTGATTACTTTTACTCAATCCGATTCAAAATTGGAGTTTTATTAATTTTTCATAAGGTGAAAGATGATGATAGTAAAATGCAGTTCAACTGGCATTATAGCTATGATAAATGACTCTTATATTTGTATATTATTTTTTTTTTATTTAAAACATAACATAGATGGCGCGCATATGCTAGAAAACATTTTGGGTCTTACTTTCAGTAAAAAATTCTTTTGAAAGGACTATGTTTTCATCAAACAATCTCAAGCTCAAGTATTTAAATATTCTTTCTGTTTATAAATAGTGGAAAGCACAACATTAAAAAAATTATACTTTTATTAATAAATATTGTGATAGATTTTCTTCTGTAGCTGTGTAGGATATGGTAAGGCTTCTAAAATTACACTATAATGTCTCTACTCATGTCAATCTCAAGCGTTCAAAAGGATCATGAAACCATCTTGATAGAGATTCCTACATAAGACTGTTGAACTTGTATAGAGATGTTCGTGTCGAGAACTTAGTAATATTCATGAGAGACACATCGCTTAACTTTTTCAACATTACTTCTATTTATATTTGAATACTACTTTTTAATTGTTGTAGAAAACATTCTTGACTACTAACAGAAATGTGGACATTCGCACAATATTAAATTATGAATTTATCACCATGTAGTGAAAAGACTCAAATATTAAATACACAAACAAATTCCAGATTAAAAAATTTGTATGGAAGAGGTTCTAGTACACTTCAGTAGGAAACGAGATATAAGCTTCACAAATTTAATAGGGACAAATATTTTATAAACTTATTATAAAATCTGAGATCTTTTTCCTAAGAATCTATTTGATTCTATCATGTGCAATACTTGCTACGAAATTTGATTTATTATCTTTCAAGTATATTACAAATATCTGAAGAAAATTTTCTCAAATATAAGTTCCATTGAATTTTATCTATCTCTTTTTGACCAATGCAGATGCCTGGAAGCAGGCCACATCGATGGAAGTCTTAAACATTAATAGGGACGCTACTTCGAAGTAATATTAACGTAACCTCGGCGTAGGGCATGGTCTTCAGGAATGAGAGATAGGGCGCTGCATCATGATCACTGTGTAGGCATTCCTCTACCTCCCGTCGCACAAAACGTAAAAGAATTAACCAATGCAGATTGTACGATATATTATATGATATGTTAACGTTTGAAATTATTTTACATAAAGATGTAATGTGATTTCGTGGAATAATTTAAAAGAAGTCATGAGATATAACCAGCTTTTTAATATTCACACTGGAATTGAATAATTTCGTGAAAACAGCAGCTTAGAGGAATTTTGCTTCTGATTCATTTGTGAAAAACAGATTCAGACTTAATTAAATTGAAATAAAACACTTGATTCCTAAACGCCTGTATATATCAAATAGATATAATGAACTATAATTATCGATATCATTTAACAAAACAGAACAAACTAACTTACTTCTATGTTAAGTGAAAACAATAGTTAACTATCAAATAGTCACAGCTGTGTTAAATATCTCATGTGCCTTATGAGCCAACCCCCCCCAATAACTCAAAACAATTGTTTTTACAACATTTTGAAACGGATTTTATTAAACCACTGAATCATACATTATTTATTGAAAATATTTTAATATATATTTGTATCTTAATATTTAAGATTTTCAGCAAACTGCAAGAACTAAGGCCTCAATTTTATTTTCCCAAAAATGTTAACAGAGAATTGATTGCATTTTCGGCTTCAATGATCAAATCTGAAATTTTCAGAGAGTTGGCGACATTTCTGATTGAAGACAAAAAATTCAAGTTGACATGAAAGTATTCCTGTCGCCATGCTTGATCAGAGTTCTTATCGTAAGTTATCTTATGATAGCGATTAATCCAAGTTATGATTTTTTCCAATAATCGAGCATTAGTATTCGGAAGCGTTAGGGTATCACCAATATGTAGCTTTCCAGCGTCCAAAAGGTTCGAAATAGTCTCCGAACGTCTTGCAGCAGCAATCTCAATTGAACAAATTTTCCCATCACAGGACTTCAAGCGCACGATTGACATTTTGGTAATAATGAGTAATTTCGAAGATTAAACAATATTAATTTTAATTAAATAGTAATTTGTAATTGAAACAAAAAATTTAACAATTCTTTAACAGATTAAAGCTTTACTGATATTGATAGTAAGTCTTACAAAGTAAAACTGAAGCTTAAACGCAAGTGAAGACGTTTTTAAAGAGTCTTCGCTGCCACAAGTGTTTCTCGTTATCTTTTCAATTCGTAGTATTAGATTAGTTAGAGAGTTGCAATTAAAGAGTTTAACTATAAAACTTAATAGATTATGTTATTATGAATATTATAGACCACTGTAGTATGTTGGATTTCTATGATTTCAATGATTCTATGAGGTATATGATATGACTTCTTGCACTGACTCAATTCGATCAAAGGTAATTGGACAAATGATTCTTTTAAATAGTTGATGTTTCAAGATTATCCGCTTTTTTTAATATATTTTTTTTTTGATCTGCGGTTTAATTACCCTACTAAGTCAAATAGTCTCCATACACGGCAACAATAAATGGTAATTAAACACGTTTGTAAGAAAAAATATTAGAGAATCTAGTATCCAGAGACATGCAGAAATGCTAAGCTGACATCCAAATAAGCTATCTGTGAATCTTCTCAGCAACAGCCTATCTGAAAGAAGACTAAAGAAATTTTGGACTGTGATCTAACCACATAAAATTCAGATATAGTTTTAGAAAAATTTATAATGTAATTAGTAGTATCTTTAATTAGAATAATTGCTGTATTGTATAGAACTTGCAGTTAATCTTTTAAATGAGTTTCAAATTATAAATAACGTCAACTAAATTAAGTCTCTAACAAAGATTTTATGAGTATACTAAAAATGTCGTCTAAGATTAAAATAGTTTTGTATATAGTTTTTGCCATATACGATGTCATCGTACAACTACAACTTAAAGTGACCATATCTGAATCACGTGATTTAGTGAAAGCATGAGGTTATTAATTTGGATTTGAGGGTACCAAGAAATACAAAGAAATTAAATTACAGATGAACTAGTTAGATAAGGATTAGAGGCATCCTTAGCAAGAGAACAAATACTGTTCTTAATAAAATGTGCTCAAAAATATATCCACAATTCATTTCTAAGAGTAAAGGAATGAAAATAGAAAAGCATAATGCATTGAAGAAATTCAAACTAACATGGTTAAGCAACAATCTAGCGGGAATGAAAATCTTACTAAGCAGTAAACAACCTATTATTTCTTTTTTTTTTTGCTATTTTTAATAAAAATGTGCGAGATGATGATGTCATAAATGTATGATGGCATATATAACTTTCTTTTTGTATCAGAGATGAAAAGAGAGAGGAAGAGAGGAAAGAAATAAAGAGAGAGAGAAAAAGAAAGAAAAAGAGAGAGAGAGGGAGAAAGAGAGAGATAGAAAGTGAGAGAGATAGAAATAAAGAGAGAGAGAGATAGAAATAAAGAGACAGAGAGAGGAAGAGAGAAAGGAAGAGAGAAAGGAAGAGAAAAAGAGAGAGGGAAAGAGAGAGACAGAGAGAGAGAGAAAAAGAGGGAGAAAGGAAGAGAAAAAGAGAGAGCGAAATGACACTACATCGTAATGCGAGTATGGTAATGTCATGTATGTAAAAATAATACATCACTACAGTGTCAGCATATTGGCGTCATAAATTATAAAAATACACCGGCACATATTACTTTTTTTTTAGGATAGAAAAATATTATTATTTTGATATTTGTCTTTTATTAAAGTTGAATGTATTTAGATAACGAATTTGTTATGAATAACTTCATCCATATTTTAAAGCAATTCTTCATAAGTCGATTTTTTAGTCTAAGTCTTTCTGCTTTCTAGGTATACATGTATAAAAAATAGCAAGATAATGACATCCTTAAAGTTTTTAATCTAATGTAGAAGCGTAAATTAATTGCTCCAATTGCCAGCGGAAAATCAATTCAGTTGACTATAAAATCTTCACAAAAAGTTTCCTTGAACAATACTACGACAAAAAGTATTTTCAATATATTTTTAATTAAAGTAAATTGGCTTTGGTCGAATTCACGATTCCAGCAAATTTTTAATTTCTAATTTCTAACTCCACAGAATACGAATCTAGTAGCAGCCAGAAATGGCAGTAGTCTGGCATTGACTCTCCCCATTTGTATGCTGCATGCATGCATCAAACGGTCCACAAATTTCTAATAGAGTTGAAAGCAAATTATTCCAAGAAAAGAAAAGCAGTGCAGAATATGTAAAGAAAAAAAAACGAACTCGTCGAATATGAAAACATCATTTGCAGATATTCAATGTGAAAAAAGTTTACCATTTAATTTGCGAAAAATGTTCTTTCCGCAATTCTTTGTATTCCTCTTGCGCCGAAATGTTGTAATTGAATTTCGTCTTGTTGCTCAAACTGCAGAGGAAAAAAATTGAAAACTTGAGAAGTTAGTCTTGGCATGAAAAAACTGTCTTATATTCAAGGTATTCTCATATGGTGGCTTCAAAGAAACACTTTCTGTTCCGTTCATTTAAAGGTCTTCGTCACCGTATGAATGAAATGAAAAAGTTGCAAGAAATCTGTTCAAATGCGTCTGCCATTTACCCAGCATCGGCATCAGCATGTGTGCCGCAATGAACCATTAAATGAACCAGAATTCCTTACTCTCTGCCACTTAAAAATGAATCGAACTAAATAAGTTTCCTTCTTCAAGGAATTGTTTGTCTTTTCCTCTGCCCCTACACTTTTCTAAATCCATTACAATTATTTTTTTAATGAAATGTAGTTCCTGAAATATTTAGCAAAATTTAATTCGCAAAACAATTTTCCAGTGTATACTTTTGGGCTTGCAATAACAAAGCATTAATTAAGTAGTTATGACGTACAACATTTTTTGTAGCATGATTTTGGGGTGGACATAATAAGGGAAACGATGGGCATGTGTTGTGCAATGAGCAAAACCTTCAACAAAACAAAATACAATAAATTTAGTTCAGCATTTCTTTAGAAAAAAAAAAAAAAATATTGAATTGAAATCGAAATGCTGTTGAACGTAAAGTGTGCGAAAAAAGTTTATTATGACAATATTTATTTTTAAAATGACACTTTTTTATCTTTGTTTCCAAAAACTTTTTAATACAATATTTTGTCATTTCGGATAGCGATAATCGTATTCATTCTTTTTCCTTTTTTTCGCTTCTTTTTTTCTTTTGTAAATGAGTTGCCATTCAAAATGCGACAAAATAAAACGTTTACACTGAGATGGCTTTAAGCAGCACAGAAGTATTAAAAACTTACTAAAGACGCAGCTGCGTCTAGTATTTGATGTGTGAAATCAAATATCTTTCTTCGATACTACACATGGTACATTTAAATTGCATGTTGGTGTTATTAGAAACACAAAGTATTTGTCAATCATCATTTTTTATTTAACAAAAACAAATATTTTTGACAATATGTATTTTTAAATTTTCTGTTTAAAATCACAAAGCTTTCCGATTTAAAACGTTGCCTACTTTTCGGGTGCTCGCAATATTTATCGCTCGTATCATTCGCTTTGAGCATATGTGTCTTTCTATATGGTCAAAGGGTATTCCAGTTAGTAATTGTGCATATAATCGTTCAAACACAATTAATAAATTTCGTTTAATACGATTTATGGTATATGAATCATACGTTTTAAACAAATCATACGATTTATACGCATCATATGATTTATACGCATCATACGATTTATACGATCTTAGGATAACGATTAAAGGATTTTGTGCGATATCGCAAAAAGTTCTGCAATATTTTACTATAACGTTTAAAAACACATATTAAATCGTCAAAGCTGCTGGATTACGATATCAAGCCCAGGATTGTGGAGAGGTGTACAAAAGTAGATCCAACTTAGAAATGTTGGAATTAGCAGCAGAACAACATAGCTACATTTTTAAAGGTAAAAATTATAAACTTTTTACATGGGTGTTGTATATGGAATACTGTATATGGTACGATTTAGGAGATGAATATTAGAAATAACCACTAAACGTTGCCCATGCACAGCTTATGCACGGCGGCGACTCATCACTTTAGGAGCCCTCTCTCTTGAGGATCTTGATGAATTACAAGACCTGACACTAGGCTTCACCAAAAATGGTTTTAAACACTGAGTTTACCTACTTATCCATTAATATAATGGGCCAATAGGCCTAAGTGAATCTACTAGGGATTGCTGGTATAACTTAACTTAACCTAAACGTTGCCCATTTTCATCCAGCTCAAAATATAATTTTAATATTTTAGCTGTGTCGAGTCTGAAGTGCAAATGATGAGGTAGTATAGTAGTTTTTACTGTCCGAACGTTAATATAGGATTGTAATTTATATGAAAAGACAAGTTCGATATCAGAAGTTCACTTGTTAGTAGAAAATTAAAATTTGCAACAAAATTCGGGTTGTGTACAGAGTTTGGCACTCGTCACCTCAAATCAACCGCCAGTGAAGAATATAAGACTGCCTCGTAATCGGAACCTGAATGTTGACGACTCTTGCAAACATACAATAGATGAACGTGCCTCTATCCAACTAATGGATGCCTTTAATTAGTTGAGTTGACAACACTGCTATCAAAGAAATGCGCTAGATAGGCTAAAGCTGCTTTAAAGGTACAAACTGTGTTTTGTAGTTAGCAAGAAAGAGTCAAAAACATACTAACCCACAAATAAGTTTCGATCACCGAAGATAGTCGAAATTTTCACCACACAACTCTCTAAACAATTAAATAATCAACTCTCCCGTTCCAACAATGGCGGTAGAAAATGGGAATATATTTCTTACTCCCTACGCATAACTGCAAAAGGTGTCCTTGGATTTCAAGATCCCCAGCGACGGAACCAATAGTACAACAAATTTCTGTTGCGAAGAATGTAGCCCATAAACGGAACGAAGTCAGTAGCTACGCGATGTGGAAGACAAGGAGTCGTCTATTCAGAAAGAAGAAAGGAGTTCAGGAAAGAGGCAAC